TGTCTTGATTTTTTTGCGTGCAAAGTAACACTTGAACAAGTTTTACATAACTTAAGTATTACGATGCCATTTGTTACTACTGAAAGCATCCTTTTCGGTCTAAATCAAACTTTTTTCCTAGCTTTAATTTATTTTGTTTGCATGATAATGATTTGTCAAAGATTTGTTTTAAGTGCCATATTTTCAGTTATTTAGTATAAAATGTGCTTGATTGATAGACATCATAAGACATTTTTAAAAAAAGCTGTTGATGAGGTATACATATATGGAATTAATATCTGTACGTTGACACGTTGTCTGTGGGTGGAAAATCAGTACCAAAGTGAATGTCCAAGAAAATGACTCATATGATGACTTTCTTCCGATCTCACCACTTAATTTGAAAAGCCACTAGGTCTTAGGTGTTAATTCCAATTAAGGTGGGAAAAAGATTAGTATTAGTCAGGAAGAAAGTAAAATTGTTGGTCTGAAGCCAATCACAAATACTGTAGGGTTGTTTTTTTAAGAAATACTTAAAAGGCACTTTTTACTTCTTGCTTTATGCAAGTGCAAAGCCTCATATCATTACATAGAATTAACAGTTCACCTCAACTTTTTAACTTTTGGCAATTTAACACAGTATTTAACAATAATGAGAATAGGAGTTAGTTATTGGTTTGTAATAGAGCAGTTGATCTGCAGCCTGCATAGCATTGTTCAAGCGCAGCTTTTTTCCCTTCAAATTACAAGTGAGATGTTGTTAGAACAGTACTTTTACTTGTTAGTTTCTTTTAAGACTGGTGGCATTACAGGGTATATTTCTATATGTGATGCTAAGTTTGTATAAATATATATATATATATATGCACTGTATATACAGTATACCAGTGTATGCAAACAATGTTTCTAAGTGTTGTAGTCTAATGCGTTTGTAGATTGCTGACATGGCATGCATTGTCAACAGCTTACACATTTGATTGTGTATATTACACCATAACAATTGTGTATTGTTGAATCTCTTGTACATGATAATGCTGTTGTATTCTAATGATGGTGCAATATTTTATCTCTTGTTTTGATACTGTCTTTGCAGCTTTCCAACATGATGTTTCTCAGTGGGGAAAAAACAACAACCTCGAAATAGTTTTTTGTACATGTACTCCTCCTCAAGGTTTGGGGATTAGATTTTAAAAGTTAGACACATAGACAGACTGGTTTTTCTTACGGACTCCAAATTTCTTCCAGCAGTTCACTAGTTTGTAGTTTTGCTCCTTTGTGCTTCCAAGATGATACACTAAAGTAGGACTGTGTCAATGAATGAGTAGAATAAGCAGGCATGACTGTTGTGTCAATATAATGTATGGATCACAATGTGTTTGTGTGTGTCTACTACAACAATCGCATATTGTACCTTAACTGCAGGTATATAATTACCATTGCCAACTAATTTTAACTCTAATCATTTAGTTTTTCCCCTTTGAAAAATAATTTGTCGCTTGTATGTTGTTTTTAATTCTGCCTTTTTCCCTCTCAGAGTAATGTGTTGTTTGCTAAGAATTTGTTTAAAAACCTACTCTACCTACTTTTTTTTTTTTTTTTACCGACTATCGAGTACTAGAATTTAACAAGGCGCACAACTTTTCACCATTCATCAAAATATATATATAGAATGTGAGTGAATCGGGGGCTGAATTGACAGTAGTCATGTATTGTGTCTAATATCCCATAAGAGGGCGACCTATTACATCTGACTTCTCCACGGTCCCTGAGTCACATCAGACAGCACGATTTTACAGTCTCTTATGCTATCAGTTGTCAGACTACTTTTTTTAACATATTGTAGTGTTGCTCATTGGCATGCAGTAATCAATAAGCGTAAATCAAATGCCAATCTAAGATAAATTGTTATTGGTCATCCCTTAACTAGCCAAAGATAGTAATTATTTACGAAGAACCACACAATTTTAAACATCAGAGATTCTGTCCCATTTTGTTGCACATCTGTCCGACTGAAGATCATTTCGTCTCATGGACAGAATTTTTCCTTTTATTCATTTAGTATATCAGATTCATTGTTAACTATTTGATGACAGTTGGCCTTTCTGGATATAGGTTTTTGTCTAAGTTGAAGCCTTTCTGTTAGTATGTGCTTTAAATGGAGCAGTATAGTAGAACTGCTGTTCGCTGCCTTGTTCCTGCAGTGCTCATTAAGTTTTGCCTCACATCCATTTAATCTCCATCATGTCAGTTACCGAACAGAATCCATTAATACTGTTGCAGCTCCTGTGTTGTGTCGGTCTATGTTTATGTTCTCTGTGTGGTTAAAGTGTCTGCTGGGTTCTCTAAATCTTAAGTGTTTTGGCCCCAGACTCCAGGCAAGAGAATGCTTGACCTTTCCATACAAAGTGGAAGTAGCTACCTTTCTCCCTTGCTGTGTTTTCCAGTGGTCTGTAAATAATGCTGCAAACTGCCTGGTTTTCAAAACCAAACAAAAACCCATGCAAGGATCTGTAAAAGACAGGATGAGATATAGTCTTTGACGTAGTTCCTAAAGTGATGGGAGAAAAGTGAGTTTCATTTGTTTACATTATGTTTACAATGGCACAGTTTTCATTTTTAAGAATATATATGTAGGTATAAACAATATTTGCATATTTATTGCCTAAGGTTAAATGATAATGTGTATCGTGTTTTCACATTTGGAATATAATGTTACAGTTGTCACCTGTGTTAATATCTGGATGATTTTGGTAAAGTAGTTGATAATTTTTATGACTACTAAGTGACTGTTTTCTGTGCCTTTTTATGGTTAGAATGCATGGTAAACTATTTATTACAATTTGAAGTCACTGAGATGTGTATTTTTGTATTCTGAATAAATAAATGGTCCAGTTTTTGTTGTACATTTTTAAGGTGCCTTAAAATAGGCTACCTATTCATATCTCTCTTCTTCAATAAAACCAAATACATATGCAGTGTGTTTCTGCCTCTGATTTGATTTCACTTCCAGGATTAATGTAAGTGAATAAAATGTGTTCCCGTTGAGTGTATATAGCAGTTTTCCCTCATCTCAAATTAAAAAAATCTTCTGTTTCTTTATTGTGCCATAGGATAAATCAGTTGTGTCGAACAAATTAGATGTGGCATTTCAAAGTTACATTGTGACTTAAGACTGTGGGCCATCTTTGACATTTGAAGGTCTTTTGGAACACCCACATCCCTGAGCATTTCTTTTTACATCCTCTTCTGATGAAACTTGCATCTCTACTTTCATCTTCTCTCATGCTTTTAAAACAGAAATGTGTTCAGTAGTTTATCCTACTTTAAGTCAATGTTTTTTTTTTTTACTCATATCATTCCCTTCATTGTTCTTTTTTCTTATACTATCCATTCTCTTCCATCCCAGTTGTCACCAAAATCTTTTTTTCCCCAGAAAGCAAATACTCAGCACGAGGAAAAGTTTCATACACTTTGGCTGTTGATGTGCCCACAGCAAGCAAAAGTTTCCAGGACGAGCAGGTTTTGTGTTCAAACAAATGGCGCAGACTTTCTTCTTAGATGCATTGGTTAAGACAGAGACAATCTTCATGAAAATGAAAGAATTGAAAACATCTGTGATGTAAAGGAAATGGAAACATATGGGAACCCATTTGAGCAGTCTTTAGGCTTGGGTTATTAACCCTTTCAGGGTCTCACAGAGTAAAAAGCAATATAAATCATTTGATTGGATTTCAGAGTTCCTTTGGGCAATAACAACAATGAAGAATGTTTATTTAACTGGCCACACAGTTTTAATGATTAGACATTAGTCAAATGGTCGAGATGTCAATAACATTCTGAAAGCCACCTGAGAAGGTATGTTTTTTTAATCTACAGTGGCATCTATTTTTTGACCAGAAAACTTCAACCAAGTGGTATGGATGGCTCGGTCGGGTTGTGTTAAGAACAACAAATAGTTTAACAAGGTTTTACTTCTCAAAATGTGGTCAACGAAATGAATGAATAACCCATTAAAATAACAATCTATAAATTTTAACTTGGAAATGATGATTCTTTTTTTTAGCTTTATTGGTTTTATAGAGAATATAGAAACCCTCCTTTTCTTTAAAATGGGTATTTTAATTATGTTTTCTTATGTAAAACAGTTTCATGTTAAGGACTGGACAGTATACCACAATAATTTATTCACACAACAACATTAATGACATGGGAAGAATGCAAACAACTAAACACTAATAAATGTCACAAGAGTATAGCATCAGAAGATTCAGGGATAAAGCTGGGTAAATGTACAAGTGCATGTATATGTAGCAAGTGCAATAAATTCATTTCAAACTGTTTTAGAATTGACTAAAATAATGTAGGCTAGGCCAACATGATACCCACTAAATGTGTTAATGCACTAGCTGCACCAAGTGCAAGATCTGAAAAATGATTTATCGTGTTTTTGCATTTCAGTTAATTTTTACTGTTATGGTTCTTGTGCTTATATAGTTTGTGTCAAATAAAGTTCTATAAAACCTCAATGTTAATATCAAACACTTCTGCTAATTTGTCGTCAGTTCGATTGTTCTGTCTTCCACAGCCCCAGTGCCACACTCGGCGTGCGATTGATGATGCCTCAATCTCTCTTGTTTTCATGGGAAGAACTGTAATGCACAGGAAATGGGGAGTTCGATTCATTTTTGGGAATCGGTGAAATCGAGCGTGATTTCGTATAGTGTTATTATCTTCTTGAGCTCATCCAGTGAAGTCTCAGGGCAGGTCTGACTTTTGGGAAGGATTAAAATAGTTATTTTACCTGGTCACAAAGCTTCCAAACACTAAAAACAGTTTTAGTTACTGTCCTCCCTCCATTTGCTATGAACATGCATGTTGCCGTTTTCAGGTTAAAAAGACTGATACAGCATTCATTAAGCTAAGCAACCATGAATCCTCCTCTTCTTTAGTTCTGAAACTGAAATAATCAAGGCAGTAGTGGGGAAACCAAGGTGGGCGATTTGTTGCTTCCCTTCAGTACCGTTTAGAAAGAAGAGTTCAAACCGGGCGGATCGTCCACAGTTCGCGCATCAAACTCAGCGGCTACCGTCAACGCTGCTGGAGTCCGACGTTGAGGCGTGAGGTAAAATTACTTGATAAACACACACAGCTTTGTTTGGAATAGACAGCAAACGATCACAGACTGTTGTTGGTTAGGTATTTATACCTACCTTAATGTTATCATTAGCTTGGTGGCTAGGTGCTAGCTATCGACAATAAGGTGACATCACGTACCGAGCCGACTGCGGCCTGGTTCTGCTGCTAGCCCGTGATTGACAGCCTGTCAACTAGCAGGCTAATCTGGCTGTCGTTTTATGTTTGCCGATGATTTGTTGCGTACTGATGTCTGTGTAATGTGCTGCAGCTAAATTAGTTAACGTTACCCGTGTGTCCGTTTTGGAAAGGACTGCATGGAGCCCGAGTAACGTTAGTCGTGAATCAACATCAGCACCCACAGTGTGTGTGGCTCCTCTGTGGCTCCTCTGTGGCCTGCTGCTGCGGCGGGTACCAGCGCCATAAGCTGGGACATTAGATAGATATTCTTCCAAACACATCGTGCCTGGTTGAGTTTCCTTTTATTACTCTTTGCTAACGTCAATAGACGAATTGCATCTTAAGTGCAATTATCTGTACCATGCAGATGTGTGGAAAGTAACATCCAGTGTGTGTTGCAACAAGTGATGTTCACGCAATTGACAATGAGCTTTTTGTTGCACACAACGTTTAGTGGAAATATAATTCCTTACATATAAACTGGTTAATGTATTGTTCTGCAGTGGTGACAGATATTTTTGCTTTTTGCTCAGTAGTCAACACACCATAGACCCAAATTTAGACTTGAATGTATGACATCTTAATTTGACATTTTTAAGATGTATCCATGAGAATATTTAATGGATCGAAGGGTATTGCTTTGAGATAATACATGCAAATTGTGTCCCAGCAGTCTCTATGGAGAAGGGCTGCAACTAACTACCATTTTCATTATTGATTAATAATTATTTTAATAAATCTTTTAGTTTGTAAAATGTCACAAAATAGTGGCAAATGCCCATCTCACTTTCCTGACGTGCAGGCTTGTTTTGTCCAACCAATAGTCCAAAAAGATATTTCAGCCAAATAAGACACGGGAAATCAGCAAACAATAGCCCTTTTTTCATGAAGGACATTTTGACAAGTCCAAGTAGAAGAAGCACAGGTGTAAACAAATGAATGACGGCCTCATTCCGTTTAGCTGTTTCACTTTTAGGGTCCTTCAACGAGCCTACCAGTGTTATTAACTATTAACACCTGTGCTTTCTACTATGACAAATCAAGATGTCTGCTGTGAAAAAAAAATCCTAATGTACGGCATTTCTGCTTGAAAAAATATTTCTTTGCCTAATTGATTAATTGGCTAATCATCGGAGTAGAGCCCGACCGATTTATCGTTTTGCAGATATTATCGGCCGATATAAACTACTTGCAGATACATCTGCATCAGTGTTAATAACAGCCGATATATGACTATTAAAAAAAGAAACCAAGAGTGTGATCCTTCCCTCAGGTCATGAGTGTTGCATAGTTTGCCCAGCAGAGGGCGTTCTGCAGCTCCTCTGTTCAAAACACTGCAGCACCACAGAACAAAACATCAGCAGACTGCAGTCAACCAGGAGCAACTCTCACACTCAGTGTTCCCGGTGAGTTGGTCTCTTGTCACGTCAATTACATAACTTAAATAATAATAAAAATAGCCTTCATCACTTCTCCCCTTACTATAACGTTAAAGTTACCGTACTTCCTAACTTTCTCATCTTTCACTTCACAACTTCATTGTTCTGACAATTAATGCTTCCCTATCGAAAAACGTCTAACCCTAAACTTAACCAATAGCCATGCAAAGAACTGCCAAGTGGCACATCTTGATAGGAAGCATATATCAACAGAACACTGGCTCACAGCTGTGTGTTTAATGTTAGATGAGTGGAGTTTACGCTGCTGACAAAGGTGATTGTAGATTCATTTCTGAAACAGTTCTAGCGAATGGTCCTCTCATTTCTCTCTAATTCATTACTTCTAAATGTTCTTCTTAAACATCACTTACAGCATTTGACACTGCCTGTTGCTAAATTAGCCACAAAGCTGGCTAATGCTACGTTTATCAGTAGAGGAGCGCCAACGTTAATGAGCGGTTAAACTGTATTGTTTAACTTATTCTAAACATATCGGCGAGCCGCTTGGCTTACAGTCAGTACGTCGGAAATGAGAGGGGACATGTGAATAAACATGCTCTTTTGAATGTGCAACGTTAGTGTGCAATCTCAATGTTGCAGGCCCTTGTTGTAGACCGTCATGTAGTATTAGATGCATTCAAGTGGAGCGTGTCTTCTGGGTCACTGTATCATAGACTGCATGTTTTAGAGCCAGGTGGTGGTTAGGAAATGGTTTCTTGTAGCTTTGGATATAATTAACAGCTGGTTAAGGGATAAACTAGATGTGAATATGCTACATAGTAGAAAGTAGTCATGTGGCAGATTATATGTAAGGTAATAACTATTTCATGACAAAATAAAAACATATAGAATTCTTTTGCCTATTCAGGAGAGCACTGTTTACCATTAATATTATAGCAATGACCTTACCATTATTATTCGTAGTAGTAATAGTAGTATTATATTGGTATTTATTATAGTTTCTGTTTTGCTTTGCTTATTTTGCTTTTGGAAAATGATCTAATTGCGATTTTTTTTTTTTATACCAATATTGCGATATAATATGCGATTAATTTGTAAGCTCTTTACCTTCGGTATCACTCAAAACGGACAAGCAGTAGATCAGTGTATCGTATGACCAACACAATATTGGATAGCGTAAACATACACTGGTCTTTCTTGTGGGTCAGGCCTGTGTTATGAGGAAATTAGGTGATGCATGAATTATTATTATGAGCAATGGAGGAGAAGAAGCATCTAATTTTAATAATATGAGAAAGATAATTTGAGTCAAGTCATGGCATTAATAATATGATATAATATCATCAGGTCGGCCTACAGACCACAAGAAAAACAAGTTCACCACAGTGTGTTATACAGTAAGAGCTCAATACAAAACCCACAGTTCAACCACCAATTAATGAGTCCTTATCCCAGTTCAAATATCCTAGGAGTCCATCTTTCTGTATCCCAGTAAGCAAACAGAAAATACTCAGTTTGAGATTCAGTTCAAAAGTTGGACACAATAAAACCAAGTGATGCCTCCCGTGTTCAATAGTCAATCTTAGTAATTCTCCAACAACACCGGAGTCCCCCTCCCCCGCAGCCTCCAACGCTAGTAAGCAGCGTACTGGCTGTAACCAGGTGTAACTCGGGACAGACTGGGTCGGACAGACGCCATTTCACAGATATTTCTTGAGCTGACTGGTGGCTGTGTGTGTGTGTGTGTATGTGATGCTGGCGCCAATCCTCACAATACGCTTACCTTACTACACGTGTCTTTCTGTTCTGCATGTTTCCTGTCTGTCAGTGCGGTTGATGGCCCGACGATTTCGCCCACCCCTGCAGCTCTAACATACACTATTTAATTTAATGTTCATAAGTAGTAGTACTCCATAATGTATAGCAGATCTACTAAAAAAAAGTTTCTTTTTATACTGCATTATGTCATGGTATCTTGGTATGGTCTCTACGTAACAAATATTCGGGATAATCTTTGTTCATGTCATGCATTTCTTATATAAAATAATAAGATGGAAAAAGGATATCGGCCGATAAATCTGCATATCGGATTTTAAAATCCTCAAATATCGAAATTGGCATCGGACTTGAAAATCCCACATTGGTCGGGCCCTACATTTGAGCACAACCATGGAGCATCTCCAGCTCTAAGGTGTGTCTCTATATGCAACCAGCACCAAATTCTTGTCTCTCTGCTTGTCAGCTAATGAAAAGATGAGTTCAGACATTAGAGAAATAAGTTAGGAGATCTGTTTTAGAATAAATATTCCCTTTTAATGGTGTGTTTACTTGTGTACTCCACTGATTTCACCTGAGCACAAAGTCACCTGTGCCTCATTAGAGACTGGTGTTAGGTCTCTCAATGAGCTGAGTTTGTCCTCATGTTCTCCAGTCTCTCTCTCTCTCTCTCTGTTTATCCATCCTTCCGGCCACCCACACTCGCTCTCAAAATTTGGCCCACATCAGCTCCCAACCAAACAAGATTTTAGACTACACAGTTTGTGCCCTTGACAGGTTGTTTTGCTGTGTACCTTTTTATAAGATGATCACAAACACCCCTCAGAATCCCTTGGCTGCATCTGCCTAGCTCTGTCACATTTCTGGTGATGATTAGTTTCATGAATCGGCCCCTGAAGTTTTGTTTAAGCCTAAACGTAGTTACACTACAATTGCAGTTTTTCCATGTATGATCATACCAAATACATTATATGACCACATTAGTTAGATCAGGTGATGACGTAGGCCTATTAACTTGATTCTCACATACTTTACTACTGGATGCTAATGTTGTGAACTAAACACGAAACACCACAGGCTTAAAAAAAAAAAAAAAGCACATTTTCCAAGCACGTTATGTTGTCTCTGCTGGAGATACTCGCAGCCATAATAGGCCATTGTGCCTGCTTCCCTCGTGAGTGAATTGGGATGCACTGCATAGTTGAGGTTAGGCAGCAGTTGCTGGCTGTGTTGTTTTTTTTGTACAGCCCACCAAAGCACCCACGAGAAGCTAGGAGGTCCTGGATCACTAGAGGAAGCCAGTGGCATGTACTCTACCCCTCTGGTTCTCAGAATGCATGTTGGGCTGATCAATAGGACCGCCTGCCTGGGTCTAGACTCAACTAGCTGCTTTGGACCATACCTCAAAGGAGAGGCTTAGATTACTTGGGAAACTTTTCCTTCTTGTACACTGTAAATATTTTGCCTCCTTTACCCGCTCTCTCATGCTGCTTACCAAGTGTGTTTCCCCTGCTCAGAGCACACACCCTTGCTCTCTTGCCTTGCTGTTTGATCTTTGATGCGGGCCTGACTGTTTAAAGAATATCAAAGAAGCATGGCCTACTATAGCTTATCCTCACCAGCAGGACAAGTCTGGGCCTACTTGTAAGAGCTTGATGTTATTTTCACATGGGTTTGAACAAAATGCTAGTCTAGAATGTTGGCTGCACAATCTCAAAAATTAAGAGCTCAAACCAAAACGTGTATGGTATTGCCTCCTGCAGTGAAGTATTTTGTGATCTGTTTCACAGGCTTGAGTCCAATAGTCACTTCACATTACTTAACGGCACTGGTGCACTGACGTAAACCACTGACTTATCACATCATACTTCCTAATTTGGCGTTAAGGTGTACAACAGTAGATAACGATGAAATCTCTTTGTTTACTAATGGCGCTGATACAGTCATTGCTTTGTGATGTGATTGTTACTGCGGCTGAGGAGCATGTAACAGCAAGATATCTCATGTTGAATGCTGAACTTCTTTGCGATGCCACTCACTATGTCATTTTCTGTTTTCCCTCTCCCCCCGGCACATTCTTTGTTTACAGGTGAGCGGCCAGTCAGCCAGCCACGTGCAGCTCTCTGTTACTATGGATGCCTGTGCACGTATTAGAGGAGTCCCAGTAAGGTCCAGGCCGTCAGTCCGGAAAGAGGTCTGTCTGCTGTGATCCTGCGTTTTATTCTGACACTATCTGTAGTGAACTAGATCCTTGAAAGGGTTTCAAACCCAACGCTCCAATGATTCCTTATGCCTACTATTATGTCTGACAAAGGATGTTTAGATGGACATTTGCACCTGATATTAACAAATTCCACTCGTAATGTTCACCGTATGTTAAAACGCAGAAAATCTTGTCTTAGTTATTTTTCCGGTTTGGTGTAGTTTTGATAATACAGTACTGTACTTTAACATTTGTTTTTGTCTACTTGTGGTCAGTAGTTGTTAGACGTTACTGCAGTTAATGACGTGTTTTCGCTGGAAATGGATATATGTAAATTTGAGTAGATTCTGATTGCACAGAATCTATAATAAAGCATGTGTAAAAACAGGCGCATGCACAAAATACTGTTCTTTTTGCGTTCATCTTTCATGAATTCTAATGTGATTGATAAATACATACACATTGGTTACGCATTATTTCTGTTGGTCTGCAGACTGTGCGTGACAGTGGGGTGCAGTGTGTGAAGAGCCTCTTTAGGAATAAAAAGGAGCTATGCAGCGTTGGCCTAGAGCTGCCAAGCAGAGACATAAGACTGACAGAGGTGTGTCACACAAACAGCAGTGCAAACATGTGTAAAGCTCAGCCATATTGAAACATTAAGACACATTAAAACTCACCATCAACTGTGCTCTTTCAGATTCATTTTGTGTGTCTGCCTGGTCATTGTGAAGGGGAAGATGTCACCCAACAGGTATGTTTTCATTATGAAACACTGAAAGAATGTCCTTTTAGAAATGAACGATTGGTTGCAATTTACCATTTGAACTACAAGCTCATGTACTTCCTCTTCCCAAGGCCCTGTCATCTCTGCCAGGAGGGCTGTGTGAGCTTCTCAGGTCCCTCCACGTTCACGGCCTCAAGAATGACGAGGTCCTGCTGCTCAAAGACTCCCGCAGGCTGGCAGAGCACAAGGACGCTGGGCCTCAGGTAGGTGGCGGACCTTTCATCTGGAAGGAATGTGAACAGCCAGCATGTTGAGTAAAGCAGAAATGTGGGGGTGGGGGGGATGAGGGGGAGTTGGAATGAGCTCTTATTATCTCAGCACCAGTGGTCCAAGATAATTTCTTGAGATACTACCCGTTTTACTGTTTTTGTAATTTCATTGAAAAGCTGACGTCACCCTGAAGCTAGGGTAACAACTGTTAATGCCAGTTAAATACGAAATAAACTGAAACTTTCTTTACACTAGAATCGAAGTCGAAATAGAATTGAGTACTTCGATGATGTTATCTGACTCTTTCGGACTTTTAAAATGTAACTTTTGCTGCCAGTAATAAAACATAATCCCTTTTTAGGTGTAACCTAAAAAGGGATTATGTTTTTGTATGTTCCTAAAATGTTGGCATTTGTTGATGAAATTGTTTCCCCACATTTATGGCCTTGTCTGTCCCTGCGTATAAACAGACATAGCAAGTCTTTCTCACGCCTTGAAGAAATGCAGGTGGGTGAGACAGACAGAGGAGATGTTGTTTTTTCAGCCCACTATTGCAGCCTTGTCCTTCCTAGTGCTGTGTGCCGTGTTTGGGTTCACACATGGCCTGTAGCGCATTCTGTGGTTTTGTTGTCCATTTCAGACAGTGAGACCTCCCACCTATCTGCATTGCAGAGTGAACTTGTACTAAGTGATTTTGTATTCTACATATGCAACAGATCAACTGGAAATCAGAGTACAGACATAACAACACTCTTCCGGCCTTCATCCCCCCTCCTGAAAGATTAGGATGCGAAAATTCCCCTGTGAATTCTGTTTAATTTGCGAAAGCCAAGATCTTTCAAGTTACAAGAATGTCTTGTTTCAAATGAGTGCAGGACATGATCACTTTTGACAGGTTAGAAACTGTATAACTGTATTTTTTCTAAATTAGCTGAATAATTTACCAGACACCCGAGCTTAACTTTCAATATTTCTCTTTCCCTTTTTTTCCTTTATGTCTTGCTGTGCTGTTTTTTCTCTGCTTTCAGTGTTTGTTAAAGGCCGTGTGTGTGCTGAGGCATAATCCCAGCACTAGTGTCTACCCTCAGGCCAGTGTAGCATCTTTGGTGGGCTTGCTGGGGTGCTACATGGCAGGTGTACGCTATGCTTTGGAGCTTCAGGCTCTTCAGAGGGGCACAGCTGAGCCCAGCCAGCCAGAGGAAGATGACACCAACCAGTCTGTCTCATCAATCGAGGATGACTTTGTCACAGCCCTGGAGCATCTGGAGGAGGAAGACACAGGAGACAGTCCGTGTAGGTTTAACATCTAACACTTAGTGGCATTTAGTAGCCCCTGGTGCTTTATGTAGAGTATCTTGTGAGCCCACATCAACAGACCATAGACAGTCGTGTTGGATAAATCCAAAATGGAGACCTGAATTTTAAAGCCTCATCATAATCTTTAAAAAGTGGCAGTAATTAAATTTTTCAGTTCACTGCTAGACGGCACTAATAAGTTAATTTCTAGTTGGGATGCACTTTTTCCTCTACCTTTATTATATAATCAAGGCACAATGGACAAAAAGCTTTTGTTTTTACACAACGAAACTTTCTTTTTTGAATAGCTTTTTTGTCATGTTTATCTTTTATCCCTTCTTTGTATATACTGTGTATGACCAGTTTCCCCCCTCCTCTTTATGTCCATCTCCACAGCTGCTTCCTATTTGCATTTTAAAAAGCGGGATGTGGCATCGCAGACGGTCCCAGCCCACAAGAGAAGAAAGGAATTATCAGGCTCCCGTGTTATCATAAGCTCCTCCTCAAAGAAGTATTCAGCTAAACATAAATCGGCTCCAGATGTATCCGTCACAGTGCAGAGGTCATCAGGTATTGAATCCCAATGGACTTACTGTAGTCCCGGAGCTCGTCTCCCCTCACCTTTGGTTCATGTCAGTGAATCGGAAGAGTCTGACTGCTCCAGCCCCAGCCCGATCATTTTTCTGGATGAGGTGGGCTATCAGAAGAGCATGCTGGCCAAGCTGGACATCCCCCAGGTGCCAGGGGGGCCTCGAGATCGAGTTGAAGACTCAGACTCTGAAGTCAGTGAGTTCTTTGATAGCTTTGACCAGTTTGATGACCTAGAGGAGCTGAGCTCAGAGAGCTGCACTCTCGCACTGCCTCTGGACAACATCAGTGACCCAACAACACAGAAAAAGTCAGCGGAGTCTAGCACCAAATATGTTTCTAGGGGCTGCTCAACCAAGGGTATGAATCCTCACCGTTTTGACCAGCCGACCCTCCCAGCCAATGTGAAAAAACCCACTCCTCTGAAACCAGGCTCTCCCTACTCACTTCACTCTGAAGTGCCTGACTCCCCACGACCAGTGCAGACCCCCTCTGAGGAGAATGGTGGCCCACTCTTCAGTCCTGTCAGCTCTTCTGCCTTCAGCCCTCTAGTGGACTCCAGTGGGCCACTGGAATACTTCTGGAAGACAGATGAGGATGTACGGGATGGCTCAGAGCTACGTAAACCCCAGGATCTCTGTTCTCTGTATAAGACTTACTCTGACTTTGCCAGCAGTCTGTCCAAAGAAATTCTGGGATCTGTGTGTGGCTACCAGTCTGCCATTGACATCAGTGACAACAAGAATCTCAGCTGCGTCTGCCACAAGGAATTCAAGAACCCTTCGGGCTACCTGATGAAGCTCTCAGAAATACAAGAGACTGTAACAGTGGCCAAGCTGCAGAGGAAGTCTCAGTCTCTGAAGGATGGCATTCAGAGGTTTGCCACTGACCTGGTGGAAATGAGCTTGGGAAGCGCTTTGCGAGACCTCCAAAAAGGCGTGTCCTCCTGTACCACCACCTTGTGTCACCTAGCTGCCAGGCTCACCTCCTCAGTGTTTCAGATGGCCTTCCATGAGATTGGCATGCGCCACGCCTATGTGTTGAAGGAACGAGCGATCAATGGATTAGCCGGCTTCCTAGTCGGAGAGGCCGTGTCTGGGGCGCTGAAAGACTTCCTAACAGTGAAAAAGCAGATTTTCCACAATACAGTGACGCGCTTTGCTGCTGATCTGGCTGAAGAGCTGGTGTTTGAAGGAATTATGGAAGTGTGTCAGTTCTCACACCCGTCAACCCCTCTCACCCCCAGTGACTGGTCATTTGGCCACGGGCAAGAAGAAGAGGAAGAGGAGGAGGAGGTGGTTTCCTCCTATGCGTCAGACTTGTCTGAGTCTGTTATTCAGGAGGCCTTCATACAGCTCTCTCAAGCTGATGTTGCCTTCACTAGCCAAGCAGCTATTAGTGTATCTCTGGACAACGTCTGTTACGTCAGTGCAGAGAACACTAGCACTCACACCTGTAGTACTTTTGCAAACCAGCAGTTTTAAGTGCCAGCTCAGCTGCAGTGGCACCAGGGCCTTCAGCAGAGGATGCTACCTGCACAGTGAAGAAAGCCCTGTTCACTGTATCAGGCATGGCCAGCTGTATTCCGGTGCCCCAAGCAGGCCAAGCACTCTCCCATCTTCATGATCCTGGGAAGACCTGTCAGTATAAATCTAGCGTTTCAGATAGCCCTCAGACTAGCCCCAAAAGAGTTTCTGAATCTTCCTCTGACACCACCACATCCACACAAACTCACCTTTACAGTCATGGAACTCAGACCCCCATACCGGGGGAGAGCCCTCGCAAGGAAAGTCACCGTTCCAAAACTTCTCTGGGAACATGGTGGATATGATAGTAACCGAGGCTTGTGAGATAATAACTGCTTCTAAGATGAAGAAAGGTTTTGGTGACTGCGCTGATTTCCTTACAAAGACAATCGGAAACAGAAGGGGCTCTTGTTCTAAGCAGGAGGCAGCTAATGATGAGGTTCCAGATTCCTCCTCAAAGCAGGGAGCCGGCAGGGAGGGCTTCAGATATGACTGTAGAGACGGTAGGAAGGGCGGCCCTGTTGAGCAAGCAGCAGAGCTTAGCATTCCTCAGATTTCCTTTCAGACAGGCTCTCAGAGTCAGGGGAGAGCCAGCTGTGAGTTAGACCCCAGGACCAGAGGTGTGGCTGAAACACATCCTGTGATGATGGATACTCTTGATGTGCCGGGGACCGAGATGGGTGAACAAAGGAGGACATCTGATGACTCGGCTCCAAGCTCCGGACAAAAATCAGGTGGGACTCCTGGCACTCCGCCTTCTACACCTCAGCAGCCCAGTGAGGTGTCCAAGGAGAAGCAGATAAAACAGTTCTCCAAGAAGTTGAAAAGTAAGCTGGCCAAGGAATTTTCCCCTGCCACCCCCCCACCCACCCCTCACTATCAGCCTGAGCCTGGCCCAGGGCCAAAAGACATCACCCCTGAGGCAGACAAGGCTGAGTTTATGCTCAAACTGATGAGGTCTCTCTCTGAGGAGGCAGATGGCAATGAGGAGGAAGAGGAGGAAGAGTTGGCAGAAGAGGAGGGTGTTGGTGGCACTGACAGATGTTTAGAGACAGTGGGTGGCCGTCATGAACTGAACCAGATGTCTGCTCGCCGAATTTCCAACAAGGAAGCTCTTCACTATGCTGAGCGGCTGGCTTGTCACATTGTCTCCATGGCAACAGAGATGGACACCCTGGGCGTGGCAGAGGAGGAGGGGGAGATGAACAAAGGCGGCGAGAGAAGGAGAGACAGCGTGGCTCAGTTCTCAGAGCAGACGCTGAACACCTTGTGGGTGTATGCCGGGGAGGTGGCGGGAGAGGTCATCAATGATGTGAAGAGGATGGTGAGCTCTGCACAGCAGTGTCCATATCACAGAGCGCTCAGAAGAAGAAGCTTTGACCGATCTAGCTCTGAATGTCAACACCAGTCTCAACCCAGTACAGAAAAGAACTGGAGAGCAGGGAGGATGGCTGAGCAGTGGTCTAATGACCTCATAGCCTCTGTTTTCCGGTCCCCCACCTCCACCACAAGCACCATCTCCACCTCGAGTTCTGGCCTGTCCTCGGAGTATCCCAGCTGTGAGAGTGTGACAGATGAATATGCTGGCTACCTTATCAGGGTGCTGAAAAAGGAGGGAGGCAGTAGGGAGTTGGTTCTAGACCAGTATGCAAGCCGTTTGGCCTATCGCTCCATAAAACTTGGCTTGGCTCATGCCAGTCGCAAAATCAAGCACAGATCCTCTAGCACCCGCCTCCAGTCCTCTAAGTCGCTGCCAGATGAATGGAAAACTCCTGGTAGTGAGGCCTCGTCACCCAAGGACGGAGGAGAGTCAGTGGTTTGTCCCTCAGGTGAGGATGCTCTGTGTTGTTGCGGGGACTCTGACGAACAGAGTCAGAGGGAGTACGTGGATCTGGTCAACTTTGCAGAGTCTTTAGCTTACAACATCACCTGTGATGTCACACGCAAGCTGCATCTTTCCTCCGTACGGCTGCCGAAGTCTCTCACAGACTCCTGTCTTTATAAGAAATCCAAACTTGAAGACATGGCGGAGAATCTCCTCAGAAACTCTTTCTCCTGCCCCCTGTTGTCCAAGGAGAGCAAGAGCAGGCATTACCACAGTACAGGGAGCCTGTATGATGGAGGCTACAGGAGTAGGGTGATGCAGGTCATAGAGCATTACGCACGGAAAATAGTTGATGACACTCTGAAGATTAGCCTGGCTTCAATTGGACATTCATCCGGGAGCACCAGAGGACCCAAGGCCATGACAGAAACTCTCACACCCAGAGGCTATCCGAGGGGGTCTCACTGGGCCAAGCCATGGGGGAGAGGACATGCCGTTATTGTCAGGTGCAGGAGTGCCCATACTGCACCAAGCTTAGCAGGCACCATCAGCCTGTATTACAGAGGAGGAAACGAGGGCCAGAATATCAGGCAAGGCCCGAGCGGCTCTCTAGTCTGGAGATTCCCAAGATCCACATTGACCTGGACCACAGGGCAGTGTTTGCAGAGGAGATGGTGTCCATAGCGATGGAGACAGCTAAACGTGAGCTGAGTAACACCAGCCTTAATGCTGACAGCGGCATCGGCCACGATGGAACCAGCTATGCCGAGAGTCTAACTGCTGAGATCATGACGTCAGCCCTGTCCAACATCTGCCATGCTGCCAACATCAGGTATACACACAAAGATTCATGTTAGTTGTTTATTTTACATGACTGCATGTTCGTATATATTCCTGTTAGGGCTAGTGTGGACGTGCATGTACACAATGTAGCATTTATGCACATTTTACAAACTTGTGCGTTTAAGCTACTACTATTTCATATTTACTTATTACCTAACTCCACTCATATTACTACATAGAGAGCATTTTCATCAGGAAATTGTAAATATAAATGTTTGCAAACTTCTTGAAGCCCTCTAATTTTTGTCTCCTTCCATCTCGCTGTGCATTTAGCTTTCCAGGAAGGGAAGCCACTGAGTCCTCTGTGTCCCAGCAGCTGAGTGTAGGAGATGACAGTCTGGGCAGCTGGTCTAACCTGAGCTTTGAGGACGAGCACCCAGATGACAACAGCAGCTTCCTCCACCTCAGTGACAGGTATACAACCACTAGCTTTCTCATACATGGCATACCAAATTTCCAGTCACCTGTAGAGCACACTGCTGCTTTATCCCTTTAGTGTCAATATTTTACTGTGGTAATGGATAATAAATACACATTTGCAGATTACCAGACACAAACCATTTAACTGATAAAGATATGTGTGTGCATTTGGCAAATACTGTAATACTTTTTATTATCAAACTTCTGTTTTTAGTGTTACAGCAATATTAATAATCAGAGATTTGAGTCTTTATTCATGAGGTGGTTATCAGCTATTAATGGCTTCTGCTCATACTGTGGCTTTTTTATAGGTTGGATGAAAGGGGAATGTGATTCTTGATTTGTTTTACCTCTGCCACTCTTTCCCCCTTGCACTTTTATTGGTAACAATAAACCATCAACAATGTGATTTGACACAGGAGTGCTGACAAATAAGCATATTTCTGTACAGATCATTTTATGAACAGGTTTCGGGCATTCTTTGATGTGATTGACAGCTGCCAGTTGGCACAATGCTGCTGTCTCAGCCACATATCCCACTATGTTTCTTTATTTGGTCTTTACTTTAAATGTGAACAAGATACAGGGAATATTAAAATTAGAACACTCTGGGTACAGCTGGAGTAGAAATGTGGAATAGTGGCACATTTGGGAATCTAATCAGTGGACTGGCACTTTTTAATTCTCTGGGGACAATGATGACATGGGTTTAATATAGGGCTGTACATAACAATTATTTTTCAAATTGATTAATCTAACAATTTATTTATTTTTGTGTATTCTATTTGTGTAAGAAAAAAAATTGTACCCTATTTTACTTGATTAATTAATTAATCTAAAGTAAATATCAAAAGCATGTCTAATCAATAAATCATCCTGATGAAGCACATTAAAATAATGACAGTAGTAGCATGTCTTAAAATGAATTCCATTATCACGTCACTGATGTGTTTTGTTAATAACAACAATAACAGACATGAGTTAGGCTACTTTACTTCAAACTTTAAATGTTTCTGACCTGGATTTATTTCAGTATTGAGTAATGCAGTATGATAATCAAATATATTTCTGCATCAGTGGGGCTTCACAGACTGTGCAGACAGTCACAGATTGACTGTGTTGTTACTTTCAGCTGTTTTCTCGCTCATATGTGGCCGTTCAGTAAACAGAAAATATGAAACGGCCGAACATTAGATGACACACGGTGTAACGTTATGTTACCATGACAGCAGCGGGGCAGAATTTACTTTTAACACGAAGGCGATGAAGAAATACTTTGAAAATACATTTCAACGGACTGCGTGTCCTCGTGCTGACAACGTGCCGTGCTTGTGTGGAGACGGAGAGTAAACACAATTTGTGGTGTTGCCGTCTAGACAAAGTGCTCCGGGATACTTATGCTTCATGTGTTCAGCGCAGCTTCACGTATCCGTGGACAGCAGTTGTGCTGCAGTGAAGCCATTTCCAATTCACAGAGCTCACGGAGCAGCACGTTGTTGAGTGTCTGTCTAAAATACTCCCAAACAAACGTTGAATGCGAGGTCTTGTAGCTGCAGCTTGTCCAGAGGAATCCCTGCTAACACCGGATGCACCGCCGCTTCGACGCACGTAATGCGAGTCATGTTTACGTCATCGATTACGTCAATGAATCGCACCCCTAGTTTAATATTTCAGTTAGAAGTAGTCGAACTGATTTCTGTATAGTCATAGACTCAGGATTTGTGCTGTCCATCTGCTCACACCGAGAGCGGTACAGAAACACTCTTTCGTTGCTTGTGTTGGACCCGTTTTAGCAGGATTTTCCTGTGGTTGAGTCTAGATGGGAGATTTCCCAAGGTCAACACAGGGCACAATGTATGGTTTGGAAATCTAATTTCTATATCACTGCCAAAATGCAATTTTCTCTGATTTGTGCAAGTGTTGCACTATATGCGGGTTCTAACGGATGTGTTGTTAAAGATTGAATGTAGCTGTCTAATTGCAGCCAAGCTTTTCTGAGAATGTTTGTGAAATACACCACAGGGATAAGGACCAAGTAGTAGTTGTGACAGAATTGGCCTACTCTTCTTGGATGGACATTGGACCACTATTCTTGCGTACGTATGCAACCAAGTGAGTGGGTCTGAGAATCGACTCTCTAAGTGACACGGTCTCATGCAAGTCTCCAGTCTCTGGGAATCGGGCTGTTGACATTTCTGGCGAAGGTTGTTATCTCTATGGAAGCAAAACTGACAACATTTGAGATACTTTCCCAAGATACTGAAAGAACACAATGTGTTAGCAGCTAGTTATTTTTGCCATCAGGGCCAAGTTAATGTATCATAATATTTTCTAAAGGTGTGTCTTTGAGTGCTCTCTTCACTTCAGGCAGTATTTCTACAGGAACAAAGTCCACCATGTGTAATTCATTAGACGTTGTTCAAACGACTGCTGCAACCGTTTCCGCTCAGCAAATGAAATCTAGGAAGGGGAGGGGGGGGGGGGTCACCTTCACAGGCTTATTGAAACACTGAGCATGATGATTGACTAAATGAACAAGCTCTCACCATGTGTCATTCACCCAAAACACGAGGAGAAAGCTGTAGCTGAGGTAATGCACATTAAAGAAGGTATTTTTAGATATCAGAAATGTCCCTCCCTCTAGCCTCACTCAAAGTGCTGCACGCCACAGTATGCAGGTTCCAGCCAGCAGGCTAATCATTGACTAATTACAGAGAGGGTGTATGTTGTTGTGCTTCTGTTGCCAGCTGGTTGTCCTGGTGGAAACCACAGGATTAACAGGATTATGTCAGGACAAGAATGTAATGATCTCACATTTTAGGCCTTTAGCAACAAATTGTCTCAGTCAACATTACAGATGAGTCAAAGCGATATATGGTGGAAAAAGCTGCATCATTTCGAGAATCCTCCTCAGTTTTGATCCTCATCTCGCATTTAAGGGATTATTCCAAATGCCAGAAATGGTCATCAACCTGAGTATTGTTTTTGAAGATACATAATAGATGTAGTTATTATAGCAAATGGGAAGAAACTGCTTATTATATCCTGATCTTTGTTCCATTGTTCTTAAAGGATAGCTCTTGTCAGTGTTATAGTGGTGCGTTACCTTCCTTCTTTCTCCAGCAGCAATGGGAACAGCAGTAGCTGGAGCAGTCTGGGCCTGGAGGGGGAGGCGTGTGAGGAACGCATGTCATTCTCTCCCTCTGACAGGTTGGTCAGCAACTGGTTGACGTGGCTAACCTTTCAAAATGCCCATAAAACGTGGGGGTTCACCTAGAATGGGACAGAGAAATAGATGAATTGAATTTACTATGAAGCCAAAAATAGGTAAAAAATTGGGAAATCACAGCATCATGTGAAAATGATTTACAAAATTATACAATGGTATTTTAATTCATACTTTGTCTCATACTAGGAACTGCCAGCCCCTTGCATGACCACACTAAAGCTCTATAATATAATATTTAAATAGCTTTGACACGGCATATGATGATGATGTTTTGCTCGTTCTGCTTTACTTACATGTCATTTCTTTGCTTAATATGGTCATTTGTAGTGTTACTGTATTTTGGGGGTTCTTGTAAACCTTGCATTCATTCTATTTAACATTTCAAACCCACAAATAGGTTTAGATATTAGTCCTGCAGATATCATGAGTTACAAACCATAAAAAAACATAATAACAGACAAATATTGCAGCATTGACAAATTGAATCTGTGGAACCAGCCATTTATATTTATAAAACCACCACTGTTTTGTCAGGCTGGGGAAAAATTTCTTCCATCGACGTAGTGCTATCAATCAACATGTTAAGCAACATGCACAGGACATCTCAGTATAATTTGAGGTTGAGAGTCTGCCACCAAATAGCAATCTTTTTAAATTCAAAAAGCTGCCACATTTACATTATGCCTTTAACAACTTCAATGTTTTCTGGGTTTTGTTTTCCTTCAACAAAATACATGAATTCAATTTGGCACGTTTGGCAGCTGACACCCAGTTCTCAGATGTCAGAACTTTCCACAGACATCTGAATGCACCAACCAGACAATCAGTGCCTCTCAACTGCATGATCAGTACTGACAAAAAAATTGTGGAGACAAAATATTCACTGCAATGAATAATACTCAAGTTTATGCATGTTTATACTGCTCAGACATCAACTGAAACAAGTGGTTTCCAAGAACGTAGCAGAACTGCTGCAGATTTCTCTGTCTGAAAAGGGCTAAAACTGGCAAAACTACTGTGACAGTCCCTTTTGTTTCAACTCTTTACTGTCAACAAAAAAAATTACAAAAAAACTGAAAAAGGGGACATTAAAGAGTAACCTTATCCCAAATCCACATCTGTGTGAAGCCGGGACTGAATCATCTGCTGTTAAACGTTTATACTGTGATAGTTATCGTTGTAATATCTTTGAGTGTATTAGGCCATTGTTGGAAATGCTGCATAAGCAATTAGCAGGACTGGCCTGGTTATTTTATCCATAAACTGTTCTCAGCTGAATTTTCAGAGGAGGTATCGTGTCACAATATATTTTGATATTGCAATATGAAATAAGATATAAGTATAAGATATACAGTAAAATAAATGAGGATTTTATACATGTATCACCTCCTCCTTCATCACAATGTAATGTTGCTTAGCTCTGAGGATCAGCAAATAGTAGATGGCCAGTTCAGTGTCTGCCATTAGGTGGCAGGTTTCTCACAAATTCGGGTTTGGGGTTTAGGTACTAAAACATGTCCAGATAACAAAGATTGTCTCATATAGTCAAGGGTCTAATATGTCACTATGAGCTGTTTAAGTAAAAAAAAAAAGCATGATTTGGTACTAATTGTCAACTGCCGCAAATACACTGGTGGGTTTGTAATCTTCACGCACTGCCATTAATGACCATAGATGATAATGCTACATTTACGCTGGTATTGTTTTGTTAGTCGCATTGAGCAGAGTCTGAGTGTCTGAACCCATCGGCTGTGTCGACATGACTGTCATTAACAATCTCATAAAATGGAGAAATGACTGTTTACCTGTTGGCACGTCACACATCAAATATTTGCACAATTGACAGAATAGATATTGAGTAGATTTTCAGAATGGGGGAAAAAAACAAAAAACTTTCACATTGAGATGTACTCTTAGTCCTCAGGTCTTAAGTGACAAAAGGAGAAAAGTAAATTTACTGAAATGTATAAAAACATTGACTGGAAATATGCAGCGTAGTTCCTTCTGTGTGTAAGATGTCAAGGATTGGATCAGGATTGCTTGTGTGCATTGCTTGTGGCTTCTGATATCCTGCTATGCTTATTTCAAAAGCTGTTCTCTTAAGCATGCATGTCCTTTTTATCTTATTGCATGCAGCCTCATCTCCGCCGCCGTTTCTCCCTTCTCACTAACATGTATGACATTACCTATTCAACAGTGACAATACAGAGGACAAGGAGACTGAGGTCAAAGAGGAATCCAGTGGTAAGTGCCTGCAACTTCCATTTTTGAGTAGTTGGTGTTTATGCAAGGGTTTTCTAATTCTTTATAATCTATTGTGAACAAGTTTTTTCCTAAACATGCATATGAAACAGTTTAACATGGTACATGTTTGGACAGCAGAGGGATGTGGGTGAAAGAAAGGCCCCTCTCCTAATTTGAGGTCTTGCTCTTTTTCCGCTCTCTAAAATTCGGAACAGTTGGCCTTGATTCCAGCTGGCCTTGTGCGTCTGTCTGCCTGTCTGAGTGTGTTGTAGCCGGGGATTTTACCACCCCCATATTCAGCCACACTAATGCTCATTCATCCACTCCACTCCCTCCATAGTCAGTCATTCTGCGTTGTGTGTGTGTGTGTGTGTGTGTTTGCGTGTCAAACCAGAGCAGCCCCTGTGAGGGGGTCTGTTCTGCTGTGGGAGTGTGAGAACCCAGCACTGTGCAGACCAGGGCTGGGGGAGCAAAGGACTGTTACACATTACACTTGGTGTGTCTGTCTGTCTTTGAGATGTACTGGAGAAGAGGAGAACACACTCATGTACAGTTGCGGTCAAAAGTTTTGAGAATGACACAAATATTAATTAATTTTCACAAAGTCTGCTGCCTCAGTTTGCATGTACTTTGGAATGTTATGAAGAGCGATCAGATGAATTGCATTTAATTGCAAAGTTCCTCTTGAAAATGAACTTAAACCCCCACCCAAAAAAACATTTCACACCCTGCCACAAAAGGACCAGCTGACATCATGTCAGTGATTCTCTCGTTAACACAGGTGAGAGTGTTGACAAGGACGAGGCTGGAGATCACTCTGTCATGGTGACTGAGTTAGAATAACACGCTGGAAGCTTTGAAAGGAGGGTGACGCTTGAAATCATTGTTCCTCCTCTGTTAACCATGGTTACCTGCAAGGAAACACGTGCTGTCATCATTGCTTTGTACAAACAGGGCTTCACAGGCTTGTAAGACTGCACCTAAATCACCCGTTTATCGGATCATCAAAACTTCAAGGAGAGTTGTTGTGAAGAAAGCTTCAGGGCACCCAAGAATGTCTGCTTCTCAGCCAAGGGAGTGGACTCACTCACAGGTTTGCCTAAGAACACAGCCATAAATAAAGAATGGTAACAAAACATCCTCTGAGTGCAACTTCTCCCAACCATCCAAGATCAGTTTGGTGACGAACAATGCCTTTTCCAGCACGATGGAGCATCTTGCCATAAGGCCAAAGTGATGACTAAATGGCTCGGGAAACAAAATATCAAAATTTTGGGTCCATGGCCAGGAAACTCCCCAGACCTCAATCACATTGCGAACTTGTGGTCAGTCCTCGAGGCGGGTGTACAAACAAAAACCTACAAATTCTGACAAACTTCGAGCATTGATTATGCATGAATGGGCTGCCATCAGTCAGGATGTGGCTCAGAAGTTAATTGATAACAGGGCAGATTGCAGAGGTCTTGAGAAAGAAGGGTCAACACTGCTAAGATTGAGTCTTTGCACGTACTTAATGTAATTGTCTATAAAAGCCACGTTTGTCTGTGCTGCAGGGACACTCTGTGTGGACAGGACGCAGGTGCAGTCTCCCAGGACTGCACTGGTCGTAGTGAACTCGGATGTCAGGGAGTTCAGTCGTGGCCCTCAGCACGTGACCCTCGACCCTCAGCTCAGGAGCATGCTGCAGTGGGTTGCGGCCTCCATGGCCGACATCCCTCAGATCCAACTGAGTCCTGACAGAGAGCTCCAGCAGGTGATTGCCCTCAGTCTGTTCTGAACTCACCATCTCAAACAGGTTCCCGCTGTGGTATTTATCATTAAACATCAAGACTGTCCTTAACCAAGTCAGATTGCTTCAATGAACTAAGTCATTCTTTCCATGATTGCTAACCTTTCAAACCAACATTAACAATCTTTTATAGTAGTGTCCTGGTTTCCACTACAGTTAGCTTTGTTGTGGAGACAACAGCTGATTCAGTTGTATAGTTGAGTTCCTCCACAGTCTTTCCTGTCCACTGCAAAAGTACCCCCTGGTTTTGAATCGTCGTTATAGTACGTCCCTCTTAAGTGACCCATTTATAAAATTCTCTGATATTCTTTGACTTTCCTTTGATCCATTTCTCTAAATTTACTCTCTGTCAGCACCTTTCCTAACTAATGGGAAAACTCTTAAACATTTACACAGATCAGTGTACTATACTAATAAGTCTAAATTACAATTAGTAAGCCATGGCTTCCATGTGGCCTCCTTTTAATTATTGTCAATCTTGTATGCCCTTTCAGCTCCCAGCAGTGGTCCAAAGGCTTCGGGAGAGGAAGTGGAGGGTGGGAGAACTGCTTCACACACTGCTGCGCTACTGCGAAGAGAGTCAGACACACAGTCAGTCCCAGGCGAGAGAACCTCACCGCATCTCCCTCTTCCAGTGGCTTCTGGAGCACGCCTAGGGCCTCACCTCTCCTCTCCTGATCTAAGTTACTCTAAGCGGGGTGTGTTTTTGCATTGCATGCTGAGACCAAGAGTGCTTCTATTGTATTTTATTTTTCTTTCCACCTTTTTTTGTTGTCGCCGTTTATTTATTTTTTTCGGGCTGCGTTTATCTCATGTATTGATTTAGTGAGCTGTCTCTCTCGCCCACACACACGTCTGAATTGAAGCCCTCACACCTTGCTGCCCGTGTGCTTGAGCTACAGAAAGAAAAGGAGAGAAGAGATGAGAGCAAGGGACCCGTCCCATCTGTTTCAGACAGAGACAGAAGTGCAGTGAGTTGAGAGAGAGAGAGAGGATGTGTTTTTTGTTAGGGAATCCCCATAGCTGCTAGGCAGATGATGTCATCACACCCACAGCTCACCTCTGTGGCTTTTCTACATAATAAGAGACCAACTCTGCGTACACGCACACACACCCCATGGCAAACCACACCCTTGTATTATTGGAGGGGATCCGATCCGAGCTCTGATTCTCATGAACATCTAACAAAATTATTTTCCCATAGTATTCCTTTATTGTATTAATCAGAATGGTGGTGCTTGTTGTTCACACTTGCTCCAGTGACGTTTTTCTCTGGAGCACTGAATGAGTTGGTGTAATGACTCCTCACATTTAACTGATATGCTGCCATACGTACAGATCTACAAGACACTGTTAAATTGTTAAACCTATATCTTTAGTAAACTGTACTACAGCGTCATTTTGCATTTATCAAATGGGCCATTCATTTGGCAGTAGAATGATAGAGTAAAACAGTGCTTGATTGAGTTGCCTCTTGCCAGTATTGGTATACCTGTTTTATCTAATACTGTAACACTGCTCCTTCGTTGTCAAACTTAGTAAAATGCTAAAAGTAGATCATGTTTACTAGGGCGGTCGGTATTTTAAAAAAAAAAAAAAAAAGTATATTTTTTTGACAGTAGAATATGTCTAATCAAACATGAAATGCTGCTCAAAGCTATGAAAGAAGCCATGATATTGGCTTAATGTTGCCAAATGTAGCATACAAGGTGACTCTGCTCCCCTCCAGTCAGAAGGTGTATGACCCTCCTGTCAGTGGCCCACCTCCAGTTTGGGGAAGATCCAGTGACGCAGATAGCGGATCTTTCAGTAATTAAAGACACCACTCTGGTCTGCACCTCCAAAACCACAAACTAACAGCATGCGCATTGCTCAACCCTGGACTCACATATTTTGTCACCCACACTCCTCAGTCACCTTGTGGAATGAACAACTTCCTCACAGCCCCCCCCCAGCACACACCCTTGTTACTCACCAGCCCCCGTGTGAGCGTCCACACACACAGCACTACCAGCTACTTGCTGAGATGCACTTTTTTATTTGGCCAAGGAGAGATGAGCAATTCCAGCCGTGCCCTCAGACCTCTCCTGGCTTCCTCTGTGAATTTTCTCCAAGAATGGATGGTCTGCTCTGCAGCCAGTTGACGTACATGCACAGTACCACCCCTCTCCCCCAAAGAATGATTATTGGGACACATGTTGATGTTGCTATTTATTTGTTGCTTTGTTAAATGAGGGACCTAAGGATGACGTGACGCTGCGAGGTCCTCAAATAAATATCAGGACTTTGCTTCTTGAGTTTGAAACACTGTAATATACTACAGCCTTGCATCTATTATTATAAACTAAGTGTTGGTGGTGGTGTTCACCTGCATGGCTTAATCTTTATTGACTTTTAAAGCTCAACATTCTTCTTCCTAATGTATTGGCCTACACTAATTGAGCTGCAGTGATTCATCTGTGTCAACGCTGCCTCACAGTACACTACGGGCCTCTGCAGATGCCTTGTTTATTAGTGCTTAATCTCTAGGCTGCCAAATGGTCATATAATCTTAAAGGTGTTTGTCCTGTATGATTTTGTTTACATGCAAAAATTAATATATCACAAACTCCACTATAAAAACAGTGATGCTCTACTTACTATTCAAGATAGGAGAGAGAGGACACAGTGAAGTATTAAGCTGAGAAGCGAGAGAGTGCTTATATCTTGGTTTACATTAAAGGAATGTATTAAGAGTCATGGACACATGAAGAAAGCATCACTGTACAAATTCTCTCTCCATGTGAATGTTTAGTTGTTGAAGTAGGACTTTCCCAGGTTTTTTTCTCCATTGCCCAGCCCTGACTCCTATATTCTTATTATTTTTTTAATCTACTTTACATTCCTTGCATCCCAAATAACCAATATCGCTATAATGTTGTGTTTGTCAAAGCTGAATGTGAACCTGCAAAGACTCAACTCCATTTAGAAGCAGATGCTGTACATCTGTTTTTCTACTGTTGTCCCCAGTGTTACTTTCTGCCTCTCTCTGAACACAGACAGGAAAATTAAAAGATAAAAAAGAGAGAGAGAGAGAGAGCTGTACCTCACCCTGACTAACTTATGTCCTTTTTCTGCTTCCTTGTAAAATCCTGCCAAATAAAGATATTTAATAAATTATGTAAGTTACTTGTTCTCCCTAGTGGCATTGCTGAGTAGTTTACACATTCTAAGGTTGAAGTCAAAAACTCTAAATTTGTTTATGTAAAAGCTTGGTGTGATAATAAAGCTTTTTCATGTGCTCTTATTTTTTTATTTTGTTCATTTAATGAAGAGACCACATCCTTGGATCATTATTGTAGTATTCTTGTTTCATTTTTTGCAGAAAAAGTAAAGGATCAATCAATTTTCCTAACACAGAAATTAATATAGTTTTCCGTTGTGCTGTGAAAAAAAAAAACTGATGTTGAATATTTGACATTTTGTATCCATAATTGGTGTTAATAGGGTTAAGGTCGACACATTCTCTTCCAGTTTCTAAAATCTGAGGATTTGCTGTGTTTCTCTTTTGCAAACTAACTAAATTTTTCAGCATGTTCCGCAGTGGTAACATTCACTCAAATTCTGCCCTTAAGTACTCTTTTAAGGTACTTGTACTTTACTGAAGCTAGTCAATACTTGTGTTACATATCAAAGGGAATATTGCACTGCACTGTACTTATTGTGCTCCACTACATTTATTTGACAGCTGTAGTTACTTGTAACTTTGCATGTAAAGATTTTACCTGCAAACATGTAAACTGGAAAAAACTATGATGCATTTTTATATATTAAACTGCTGCACAGTTAACAATGTTGTAAAAAATAATGCTGCTTACAAGCTAATGCATCAATAATAAAAATTATAATAATTCTGAAAGGGGTGATTCTACATAACGATTACTTAGTACATCGTTCTGACACTTTTTCTATTTTTACGCTGCGGAATAAGAACTTTTAACTAGTAGAGGATCGAAGTACTTCTTCCACCACTCATATCCTTATTATTCGATTACTAACGTTAAATCAATTTATCCAGAAAAGTATGCAGAGAAGTCTCCACAAACATAAAATGGGGTGGGGATGGTGCAGCGAATAAGATGTAGATTTCAGAATTTGACAGTGTTTAAGGGAGAGTCAGCTGCATTATTTAATAAACCAATAAAACCATAGACTTACAATCAAGCATAAAATTGGTGATTCACATGATGTTTTATAGAAATATCAATTTAACAAAATAAAAACCCATATTAGGTCAACTTAAGGTGACCAGGGTAGTGACTGTTTTCAAAGAAGGACCCTGTAAAGTCCCGGGGTCTAGTACTAAAGGGCTGATACAGACATCTCCATTCAACACTGACTTCTTAATTTAGCCGTGAACAATATCTCAGTGGCTCAAAATATGTTTATGGTTGTTATTTTCACATCCTCACCTTTGTTGCTCTTCTTGGCAGTAGTAGTAGATCTGCCATCGGTACATGTCCTGGACATTGTGAGAAAGCATTACATTGTTTAAGTGGTTAAATGACACAGACATACTATTATTTAGAGTGCTTCAGTTGATGCTTGAGGTGGCCACAGCAGAGTGAGTAGCCAGCAGGAAACATCCAAGGTGAACGTGACCACAAAAGAAGATTGCAACAGCTTTACATAAGTGAATCCACAGGAATGTAACTCTGACAACAACAGAAAATTAAAACGTCAGCCAAGTGATGTAAAGTATACATTTTGGCCAGAACCTTGCAGCCCTGATCTCACCGCAGGGGTGCTTATAGTCAGTCTTTACTGTCAGTGAAGTACCTTAAGGATTTGTCTCATAACCACGTCTCTTTTCTGCTTGTGATATCATGGAGTATGCTGATTTAGGGTGGGTTTCCCAGTGATAACAGTCTGCTGTTAACTACAGTGATTCCTCCAAACCTAAGCCAGGCTGCTCCACCTCCTTACTGTTACTTGTGCTGCAGGTGCCAAAGGAAACAGAAGGGATGTGTGTCTATCATAGCCGGTCTCAATAACAGTGCTACAGTTCTTGGTTATGCCTGGATACAGTTGCACAAAACAGCCATTGTTGCTGTGTGATTAGACTGTACCACACATGCACAAATATATAATTAGGTAATGTTCACTACAATGGCCAGTACCTGTCAGCATACAGCTCTCTGTGGAGTGGATGAATGGAGGTGTCTGTCTGACATGCAGAGAAAAGAAGAAAGAGAGAAGGAGGAGGGAAGGTGGGAATACCTAATTGCAGGCTGTATAGTGATACAGGAGACGAGGAATGTGTCTGACAAGCACATCTCTGATCTCTTGAGCGGAGGGAAGTCTGCTAACAGTCAACAAGGATATGGTTGGCTTGTGGGTGACTTGACAGAGTGAAGTAATTTCCAGCAGGCTTCAAATTAGGGGATGTGTGTGTGTGTGTCTGGGGGGTGGGGAGTCTAAATCTTTGTCTAAACTGTTGTGCCCTCTTGGTGAGAAAGAAGAGGCTTGGCTTACTGAGAGAAAATTGACATTTCCTGCCTCCTGTTCCCGAGCAACATAGTAAATCTTTATCCCATCGGGGAGCAGCCTGAGATTCTTAACGTTTGTTAGTGAGTTCAAAGATTTGGGATAAAGTTCAATGCCGACGAGGCCATCTCACAGTTTTAATCGCGCAGCCAGAAGAGCCCAGGAACACATAAGCAATGTTATGTTTAATATCACTTATAAAAACACATTTGTTGCTATAAAGTCAGGATTCATGATGTATTTTCAGATACTGAAATAAATACATTAAAAATGTAATAACTGAAAGTTATTACATTTTCAATACATGTCTGGCATTATTTTCACAGCTGGATCACTCCTATCAGGGTGTCCGCACCCAGGGAAGCAGTGCTCATGTGGGCAGCAAAGAAAAAGTAAAAATAAATTGGGAAAGTCCCATTACTAAGTGATGTGGGTACAAACCAAAAAACATTAAAGCATGTACATTTTCACTGTTTATTGAAAAAGAGGTGAAAGAGGGAAAGGTAATTAATTGGTTTATTGGTTGATATATGGCTCCAAAGACCAAGTACCTAATTAGGCTCTTAGAAATGAGCTCTCTTTATCTGTGCTAAAGTTATGGACGTTTATAAGCTGTGAAGAGGAAATAACAATCCCAACTCAAGGTCCACTTACTGGCTTTTGCTGGCTGTCTTCATCAGCATATGGAGTTTGCCTGATAATGGCCCGATGAATTGTCCGACCAGTGTCTTACTTTCTGAGGCCCTGTGAGTCTAACCACTGGCTTTTTAAAAATAGTTCCAAGAGCCAGATGATATTATTTAATACATACACTGTTACACTCACTTAAACATAAAATTGGGGTTCACATAATATTTTATAGAGATCTCTTTAATTTAACAAAACAAAAACCCATATTATATCTCTAAATAGGACGTTGCAAAGTGCTGGGGACTTCTTAGTCCAGCCATGAACAATATCTTAGTGGCTCAAAATGTGTTTAAGATTATTATTATCATGTGTAAAACCGTTTGTTCCTCCTCTTGGCAGTAGTAGTAGTGGTTGAGTGACACAGACTTACTATTATTTAGAGTGCGTCAGTTGATGCTTGAGGTGGCCACAGCAGAGTGAGTAGCCAGCAGGAAACATGGTCCAGGATGATACTTGTACTAAAACATGACCACAAAAACTAAGATTGCAACAGCTTTACAGATGTGAATCCACAGGAACCTTACTCTGACACAACAGCAGCTTCAGTTTAAATCAGATGGTGGCAGGCAGATACTGCAAACACACACATACACACACACACTCACACACACACATACACACACACACACACACACACACATGTACACACACACACACACACACACACACAGAGTCATCAGTACAAGTACAATGTATAGCAGTTATTGCCAAAAATCTTCATTCAGCAACATAGAGAGACAGACAGGAGCCCAATAGCATACCACCCTCAGTCTGCCACACACACACACACACGCACACAAAGTCTCTGACATCAGAAAGGTTGGGTCCTGGCTTGGTGTATCCCCCCGCTATATCCCCCCGTCAGTGATTCACTGACATCACTTCCCCCCTAACAGCAACAAACGGTCGGGTTGTTGGGAGAGTCCACTGGATGAGGGGAGAGGAGGAGGAGGGGAAGGGGATGTTTGAGTCAACCCCATGGAATCCATGATATACTGTACTGGGCTTTGTGCTGGGAAGGGGAAAACCAGCTACATCATCCCTACTAAGCTTTTTTTTACTCGGCCTGAAGAACATCTCCTTTGTTTTGTTTTTTATTCTTCCTGATTCATCTGCTCTTCCTTTCATCACCATGGAATAGTATGTGTGAACAGTTAATGAGCCGAGGGGCTGAATCACGAAGGTGGGTCTGAGGTCCTGCTGGATGACCTACTGTACTGTAGCATGCAGAGCGGTGAGGCACTTCCACAGTTTTTGACATAGAAGCTAATTCAGAAATGAATTTTCTCCTGCAACTTGTGACAAATTGTTTTTAGGCGGAGGTTGCAATCCTGCGGTCCAAGTTTATGGAGTGGAAAATCTAATCATCCCAATCTTTTTGCAAATAAAAACAAGTTTGTTTTTACTCAATATCCAACTCTCCCACAGGATTTATGAAAGGAGGGAGTGTTCACGTTTTTTTTACATTACGTAATTCCACCTGCACCTTGTAAGGGATTTAAAATGTTTCACTATAGTTCAGGACTGTGTTTATGCTAAGTTACTTCATGAGCTGCTTATTTCGTCATCCTGTTATGCCTAGAACGGCGGTTCAGTGTATTGTGTTATACTCCCACAGCACTCAAATGAGATAAAGTACCCCTTCGTTGACACCACCTGTCATGTTCCCAAATATGTTCATTTGAACTGATTTTAAGCAACATGCTATTTTACACTGATCGTATCAAAGTGAATAGGATAACAGCTGGAATAGTTTATATTAACCTTTTATTAATATATGTTACAGTGGACACAGTAACACCTGGGTTTGATTCCCACTGAACACATCCACCAATGTGTCCCAGAGCAAGACACTAAACCCCTAGTTGCTCCAGAGGCGTGCGACCCCTGACATATATAGAAATTGTAAGTCGCTTTGGATAAAAGTGTCAGCTAAATGAGTAAATGTGATGTAATCTGCTGTCCATTATCTATCTATTTTGAACATTTACCCGAATTATTTTCAGCTGTTTATTTCAATAATTTTAGCTATTTCAACTGTTTATCCATCTATCTCAACCAGTTATCCAT